CACCGTTTTGATTATACACCAAATTTCATTTTACTGTAAAAATCAAATCTCTTGCAAATAGTTTTCTCAGAAGATGGTGGAGACCAAAAACAGAGCAAAGAGGACATCAAATAACGGATTTGCTGAGAGGCCAGAAACACGACTTCAATGGGACGACAATGTTGCCTCATGTTTGCAATAGGTGGGCAAATGTTTTCTCATATGTGCGTTGTAACAGTTTACAAGGTGATTATATGTTCTGCCCCCTGGTAGCTAAAATTTTACAGCTGCAGCATGACATAAGAGTCTACGAGAGAATGAGTAGCATTTGTTTTAACTAAACCTAGATGGCAAGTCTGTTGAATCACTAGCTGGAGAACAATACACAAGTCTTTCATGGTTCTGTACAATCTTTCTGTCATATATTTAGGGACTTCTGACCAAAAATTTTGTGTAATACTCAAGAACATTGTTGTGCATGCAAACAAACAAACAAAGGTTTGTTTGTTTGTTTGTTTGTTGTCTGGTTCAACATGAAAGAGGACTACAACCAGGCAGAGGAGACACAAATTGTAAGTGGACCATACTTGTTTGCAGTGTACTCTGCTTGCTGCACTTTTGTTTTGCCCCAAGAAATGCTGTTTGCCAGCTGTATTTATTAACTATTGGACAAACTTATATTTCATTATCAGTTTTCAGGGTTCAAGCACCACACATCGAACAGATGTTGTGGAAGCTCCAACATCCAACAGCTGTTGACAAATATGAAACTGCACGACCACATAAGAAATATTGGCATTATTAACTACCTTAACTATGTTAAACTGACCCTCTAGAACTCTACATAGCTGGACTATTTATGCAAATACAAATAAATAATCAGATAAAAAATATGTGCAGAAATTATGTGCTGTCATGTGCTATCAAGATCTCATTGCAATATTACAGAATGAAAAGCGGAGTGTTTCTGGCAGGGCTACTAATCATTTGTATTTTGTTTAGGGATTAGGGCAAAAGCAAAAAAAAAAAATCATCTTTGCCTTTGTGGTATTGTATAAAAACGCATATGTCTAAGAAATTGTACGATACAAAAGAACCACTTAGCCCCAGTAGCTTATTGGTCTTATTAAGGTCTTAACTGGTGTGATAAGTTGTAACATCCAGGTGGTCATTAAATAAAATCTCTTATCAGGTGTTCACTTGTGGAGGAATTAAGCAGTAGTTTGGTAAAGAACATTTTCACCTCAGAGTTTAATTAATATTAAAGGAGTGGCAAAACAATAGCCCCACTGCATTTGAAATCTTAACCCCAGGTGCCCTCATTTGGAGTGCCTGGCATATCTCCATGCTGCACCAGTCTAATCTATGGCATGTCAGCGTGACCAGGTGAAAAGTGGCGTTAATTCTATATTGGAGCTGGGCATGTGTTGAGAGCAGCAGAGACAGGTAGAGCATGCCATGGGAGTAAGCGTGTGACCTGACAGGGATTGGCAGGCAGGGTGTTAATTGGATAGGTGCGCCAGCCCATTTGTGTTGGCCATCCCATCGCAGAAGACATTGTACCTAGTTCTTGACTCCCAAGACAAGCTGCTGTGCTCTTCGTAGACATGCTCTGAATATAGCTGGTGAAATTATTTGTTTCTCAACAGCCACGTGACTTTCCCCAGACACAAAGACAGGGGGATGGGAAAGACAATGCATCACAAGGTAGAGCCTCTCTAGGCTAAAATGGATGTTATTTGGACTGGTAAGAATTCATTGTGTGTGTGTGTGTGCGTAATTCTTTAATATATCAAGAAGAAAACATTATATATATGAACTGAGTTGTAGCAGCTGGACACAAGTTTGATTAGAAGTTAGGACATTAAAAGATGTTCACAAGGTACCTATATGTGATTAGTTGGTTAGTAAATGTTATATCTCTGTCTGTAATTAGAACACAGCAGATCTAAACATCTATAACAGGACGAGATATATTCTGATGGTTGTCATGACCTTTAGTTGTCATGGTGGCATAAATAACTTAAATTCAAGGCATGTGTTGTTCATTTGGATTTGTTTGGTGTTTCAACTTAAATATTACATTGTTAAATTGTCATTAAAGCTCATGTCGACATTGTGGAGTTTCTGAATACAACTTGCTGTTTCACATTGCTGTCATGATACTGGAATTTCTAACTCTGATAAAATACCGCAAAAAAACATCAAAATTCAATACAATTTTTGATACCACGGGGAAAAGTGTCAAGTATGGGCTTTAAATTTTAAATATTTGTTAAAAGATCTAGCAAGGCTATAACATGACAATATTTTTTTTTTTTTGGTTAGTAGCAGAGAACTGCAGAATGACTGTAGTAAACATTATCAATATGAGACCAAAGACGCACAGCTGATAGTCGTGTCTCAATACTGCAGAAAACAAACGCTGACACTGTTGTAAATATTCAGAATTGATTTGTATTGATAAATAGATATTTTGTCAACACTGTTTCACGTAGTCTAACCAGTCACATAGGCTACAAAATGAACGCTATACTGAAATCACACAGCCAGTAATATTTCATATTTATACTAACATGATGTGCAATAACTTTATTCATTTATTTATGTGTAAATAATTCTAACTTATATAATGTTCACAGCATATGTTGGCATATGTGTGCACATGTGGGCGTGCATGTCTTATGCGTGTGTCTTATTATTTATATATTATTTCTGTTTTATTCTGTGCATTGAATTTTTATTGTACTCATTTACAATGACAATAAAAGTAATTAAACTGAATTAAATTGAATTGAAAACATTGTCATTTATCTCTATTCAGATTAAGTAGTGATACTTTGTGACACCTGTTACTCAAAATAACATCATTTTAGGTTCATCTTAAGTTACAGGTTTATAAGGATTTTCTGCCATGACTTTCAACATATTTCAACCTAGGTGTATCCTGCTGAGAACTGAGCTTTTGTTTGGTTTGCATTTTTAATTTCTCCTAGCTACTTGGGATCAGTAGGATCTGATAACTATGAAAAAAAAAACTAAGCAATGAACAGAAAGCAGATGTCCTCATAGATGTCCTAAATGATGTCCTCATATGGGGACAATGGCTTTATGTTTAACAGCCATAAGTGTGTAATTAAATATAAAACAGTTTATTTCAATACCCGAACATTGTTGTGCAAAAACAAAACTAAAAACAATGCAACATTTGTTCAATGTTTTGTAACTCTATGAGTTAGAGGTCACTGTTCAAATCTAAAACTGTTGGTAAAACAGTTGTTCAATGCCTGAACTTGGCTGTGCAAAAACTATATTGTGATTTACTCATTTTGTAACTCAGTGTGAATTCTCCTTGCTCCATACTTCAAGCTAGGAATGTCATTTTTGTCTGTCACACCTGATTGGTCTGTGTGAAATGCTGCAACAATCAAGTCCCAATGTCCACAGATGAGACGATAATAAATGACAATGCCTTAGCTTGTTCCTGTTGCTAAAACTGGTCACATTTTTATGCAATATCAAACTACAAACATTATAAAATGTTAGTAAACAAGTTTCAACCATAAAATGTGATCAGGTTTGATACCTTGTCCACTTTTGTGTTGGGATCGGCTGCAGACTTACTTGGCAGAGATGGCTGCCATCTTGTTTTTACACATAGTAGTGTATTGTGCTTTTACTTCCACTTGCACAAAAAAAGTGTCCACAAACAAGGACAACAGGCCTAAGTTGAATGTTCAATGGCAGAATGTATTACATGGGGCAGCAAAGCCAAAAGGTGATGTCCTTGTATGAAGACGCAGGGTCTCCGGAGGGTATGTTTGCAGAAGACATTGCCTTAGCTACGGTGCAGCTGAATATTTTGGCAGAAACTTCAAAAAGCTTTGGATGTAATAAAATTACTTTGCATTGTGTCAGATTCATCAATTTTGTGTCTCTCGTCAATGAACTGGTTTCCTTCACCTTTTTATTCACTCTGCTAGGACCATTTATGGCATCATATAACTGAACAAATAGCTGACTACAAAAACTGTCGATGTCGCAAAATGTTTTATGGTTACCAGTGATGGGCTGAAGCTTGACTCTGATAACTGGTGGCACATTTGACAGTCACTTTGGTTTGAAGCTGAAGTTGAATTGCTGGTTGGCTGACTTCACTAGTTCCCTGATCCTGCTGTAAAACCACAACAGGTGAACGTAAATGTCCATGAGAGAACCAGACAACTTTAACTACCAGGTCTGATGATATCATTTTTAATTCACATTGGCATATGCTGCTTGCGACAACCAGATGTCAAAATTATCTTTATAGTCTTTGCGGTATTCTTAATCATTCTGTCACTACCTTTTTTTTTTCTTAACTTTGAGTCTTTTTTTCTGTCTTAACTGAGAAAACTGATGGAAAATGTTTGATCCTCAATTTTGCTTTGCACGCTGGCTACAAACACTCTCTTCTCTGCTGTCTGATGAGCAAACATGGTTGAAATTATAAACGCTTCTGAGTTATCACTGTCAATAGTCACGGATTGCATTTGTTAGCCATTATTAATATTGACAGATATTTTCTACATTAATATGAAAAAAAAAATGTGTTGAAATGAATAAAATAAATGTTGATTAAATTGAATTTGAGAGCTTAAATTTGTATATTTTAGCATCCTTTTGTAAAGCTAGCAAGTATACTGAGCATGTAATAAAGTAACAACTTACAAGGCTTATTCAAATGTGAAATATGTTTTTTGGCCCTAAAAGGAGTGCGTCTACAGCAGTTTCAGAAATGCTGTCAATGATTGGTACATTGTTGATGAAGGAGAAGTTCTGCTCACTGTTTCATTTTAAATTTCCTCAACTATCAGGGACACATCTCATACACATCAGGCTCTAAATCTACCGGGCAGTATAAAGTATTTTTAGATCAACTAAGTGGAACAATGCACATCCTATTTTTTTATTCGCTTGATTAGGCAAGTGGGTCAGAAATCAGACAGAAATATACTTGCCGGCGGTGCCCGCAAGCTTACCTGATAGAGCAGGTGCCCCATGTGCAAAGGCCATGTCCTTGCCGCAGTGGCTGCAGGTTCGATTCCAACTCCGGCCCTTTGCTGCATGTCATCCGCTCTCTTCCGTCCCATCTCTCTCCACAATCTAACAAAGGCAAAATGCCAAAAAAAAAGAAATCTACTCACCCAATGTCATTTTTTGCCCCTTTACAAACTATTTTATTTTTTAGTGGTTATCAAAAAACAACAAAAACTAAAGTTAATTGTCATGAAAAATAACTCTGTATTATAGGCCTTGCTCTTAAATTTGGGGCAAGCTGCACAATAAAAAGTTGGGAGTTTTGCCCAGATCCTCTAACGCCACCGAAATAAAAATCTTGCTACCATAACTGAAATGCTTGCTTGCGCTTAAGCTCATAAACTTTGTCTGTACCTGCTGCCGTTATCTCGCATGTGCCAAATCAGTGCTGCACATGTGCAACTCTCAACAGAGATGACAAGGAAGTGAGATGGGTCATTACTTAGCTACCTTTATCAACAGCTCCAGGAAAAAACAAAATCATGTGTTTAATTCTTAGGATTGGGCGTTATCTATTTTTCATATCTTTATACCTTCCCAACATTTCACCAGGGCATTGTCATTATTTATTCTGCCATCCCTCAGAGTTTCCGCTAGGAGGGAGATCTGTTCAAGCCATGAACTCAAATGTCAAAAAAGGAAATATTTTTACACCTATTTTCCGTATTAAACAGAAAAATACAACCATACATCTTCAAAATATAGGTTTATCCCTTCCTAACTAAGACTAGCTTAACTGCCTTGTTGACACATTGTCAAACACACAAACAAAATAAAACTCACCACAACCACCTTGGTTAGCTTTCCATTGTTCCAAAATCACCAACTCTGGTTTGGTCGAAATAAATCCCTAATATTAATTTATACGATGTTAAATATATGCCGGCTCTACACACTATTTTTCACTGCTGTCTTTCTCTGGCATTGCTGACCGTGTTTTTACTAGTCCTGTAATGTTATCCCCACCTCTCTCAGCTCGGCTGCCCGTTCCACCATTGGAGACTGACCTCTAGTGGTGCACACGTTGCACTACATCGCCTCAATACAGCATCTCCGTATAAGTTTAACAGAAAGAGAAGCATCTGTATTTTTTTTACAGTATTGAAAATCATAACTTTGGGTTTTCTAAACATCTTAGAATATCTTAATACTGTGATACTGCCCAATCAGTGAGTTGCTGGATTTACTAGCCTGACGTGGGATTTTACTTGCATGGGCAGTCCTCATTGTTGAGCCCTGCAGTTGCTAACATGACTTAGACTGTGTGAAGTGAGTGGCTTTAAGACTGGACTGTGAGGCTGTAGCTGAGTGCTGTGGTTATGGTCTCAGTAAGCAATCAGAAAGTGAGGAAATGTGTGAAGAATTATAACTAATACAATATTTTCCATAGCACAGATAGTCTTTTTTCTGTATGTTAGTGCAGTACTAGATATTGAAGTACTTATAGAGGCATTAAGTACTTGGATAGGAGTAAATGATTGCTCACACAATGTTTCAGCATCTGCAAAATGAAAAAACGGTTAAGAGCGTTGTTCATTTTAATATCAGAAAAATTGTAACTGCGTTGCAGTTTTGCTTTGTGCGTACAAATGCACAATTGCACACTGCTATGCAATATGAACCAGGGCTTCATGCTTTTATTTGAATATGAATGTTCTTCTAATACAGCAAAGGGTATACACAACCTTCAATTTAACCTTAGCCATTGTGTTCGATGCAGACTAGCCTTTCTATTGTTAAAGATGCTGCATCTTATTTTTTTAATAAGCAAAAGGATTAAATTAAACCCCATGCAATCCAAATGAAATGGGGATTTTTGGATGCATTCATACCAAATGTGTCTGGAAAAGATAATTCCACTTAATGGAGGCATTTAAAGAAGTTGGCTGATGCCTCCACTGCAACTTGGATTATATGATGTGTTTTTTTTTCTTTCTGCCATCACATTTATCTTTAAAAAAAGGGAGAAACTCAACATTAACATGAATGTTTACCACAGCTTCTATATTAATGATTTTATTTTTGATGGATGCAGCAAATAGTGAGGTTTTCTACATTCTGAGAGGCATCTAATGAGGCATATTAACACCAACGATAATTATCATTATTATTCTGGTTATAATTACTTTTATAATAATATTGAATAATAATAAATATTAACAACATTATTTTGTTAGTCATTTAATCTTATTTGGCTCTCTTTCCGTTCCATTTCCGCTCACTATATAGATTTCCCTCGGCCTGAGTTAGGGGCCGGTGTGAGCTGTCAGATTTGTGGGTGATATCTCAATTAAGCAAAATAGGAAAATCCATTGTTTATGGGGGTGTGAGAGGGTATTTCCAAGCCGCGGGCTTTAAAATGGGAACAAGAATGTGTTCGGTCAGCCTGAACAGCGCAGGAGGATTTTGGGGAGGACTCGTCCTTTGTGACACATGCAGCATAGACATAATGAATTATATTATAATTACAAAGCACAGTCTGTAGAAGTGGACAATATAGATATTTGGCCAGGGGGTGGAGTGTGCTGCTCCATAGAGACTGGGCCACTCCAGACTGCATTTCTATTCAGATCACTTTAACTTAGACAAATCTCAATGTGAATGAATGGGGCTTTGTTCGGAAAATAAAAACATTTGAACAAGGACGCATCATCTTCTCATTCTCGGGGCACATAAGCAATTTTACACGTCTGAAAAAGACATTGAGCTGTCAATGTTTTACTTTTTTAGACTCTCAAAAAGTACTCATTATGTATCTTTTTATAAATAACCTAGAAAACACACAAAAAATGCAAGCATGTACTTGTATTACACTTATTCAACAAATAAATGTTTGAAGGGAGGAATATGTTACACCAGAGAACAGTGGTTTATCTGGAGGAGCATGGTGTGTGTGTGTGTGTGTGTGTGTGTGTGTGTGTGTGTGTGTGGTGCTGGTGGAGGTAGTGTATATTGTGGAGAGATTGGGCAAAGCAGAGCGAGCAGAGAAGCAGAGGGGAGTGAAGCTGGCAGTGACTGAGAAGATGAGGATTTGACGGCAAGGTGACAAAGAGTTCAAACAAAATGAGGCTTGTAGATTAGCAGCACTCCCCTCAGTGACAGGTGTCATCTCTTGGGGCAGTCTGTCACTCTGCCTGCTGCCACTCTTTATATAATATGAGGAGAGAGGGAGAGACGGAGAGAGAGAGAGAAGAGGAGGAGAGGCAGCACACACTTGCACCTCACAAGGCACGGCCTCGCCTGCTCCTACCTGCCAGTAAGCAAGATTAAAGACTAAGTGGCAGCGGGAACAAAAGTCGAGCAAATGTTTATTTACCTTTGCTGGTGAGGTCGCTTTAATGGTTTTTATCGTGACCAGGAAACTTCTCAATCAAAGTCAATGTAAAATCACTTAGGCGGGGACATTGTGGTATAACAGAGAGACACTGATGTCCATAATTACTCTTTGACATTGCAGTTGGAGGGTATGCTATTCAGGCAATTCAAATTGCTTTACATCTTTAATTGGTTTCATAATAATCAATCACTTTCATATTCCTGGATTTATTAAGCCAGTGTAGAAAATGTGGGAAATCAGTGGGTAGGATTAGATTTTTTTATATAATTATGTTTTATTTTTTGTATATTTAATCCAATTTTTTTTTAATATAATTTGCCAAAAAACAGATTTTGCCATCTGTTTTTTTAATCCATTTCCTGATGAAATGTACACGACATCTTCTATATTATTCTAAATATGTTATAGCATTTTATTGCCCATTCAATAATACTATAAATCGAAATAATACTACCCAACTAGAAAAAAAATTAATGAATAAATGTGTATATCTATATATGGTTGTATGTATATTAGAAGAGGTTCAAGGTGATACTTACTAGAAAACATTTACTGCCACCCAGGAGAGACAGCAAAACAGAGAGTGACAGAGACACAGAGTATTGTTCTTTTGTAAAGAGTCGCTGAGTTTTGCCCAGACCCTTAACAAGTCTGTGATACAGGAAGGTATTAACTAAAGCTCGGAGGGAGCCAGCTCACATCATCCTGGTGACATGCAGGCTGAGACCTGCTGCTCTCTGCCCAGGACTCCAGCCATCTGCTCCACAGATTGCACTGAAACACACACAGCAAGCGCTGCTGCCACCCCTCTGGGTGAGAGAGTCACCAGAGGGTCAGCTACTTCTTCAGGACTTTCTCCCTTATATGTTTTGACTGCTCTTACTCGCTTATGCTGATTAGGGTCAGCAAGCAACCCGACTAATAATCTCATAATCTGCAGTGAGCGACGAACTGAGGATCTACAGTGTGTCCTAACAGGCAAGCGAGAGAGGCTGCACAAAGAGAGAGAGGGAACGAGAGAAAGAGGAAAATAGCACGAGAAGTATTCTGATGTTTGTTTTTGACAGATGAGGGATGCCCCCTATTGACTTTGTCAGGGAGGCTAGAAACAGGGGTAGAGAGAGTAAAACCGGAGAGCAGCGGTGATTGCAAATTGTGAAGAGAAATAACCCGAGTGACAGCATTCTCAGTTACAACCACAATGGTAGGAAAAGGGGTCCCTGAGATTATATGGACAAAGGGAAAGACTCGGGCTGGAAATTCAGATGGCCAATATACATTAAGGTTTTAAAATATTCATTGCACAGGTTGGAAGGGATAGAAGGTTATGTGAGTATTTGGCGCCCTCCCGAATGGAAAATTCTCTCTGAATAACAATCAGGTTGTACAGCATCAGACGTATAATGGAAATGAAGATGAGTGGTAGCTGGTTATAGCAACATGGGGCAATTTTCTGTAGCCTGGAAAAGAAAAAATGTATTGACACAATAATTCTAAGTTAGACACAAAATAAGCAGCAAACTGTATATTTTATTTTTGTGTTTTTATTCGGTTAATTCTCTTTAATTCAGAACTGTTTTTTTGCTTAAATAAATTTCCTGATTTCACACACTTGCAGCATGACGGCATCTGTGCCCTGTGCATTGAAAAACAAGTCATATGCCTCACAGTGCGTCTCTGGTCTGTGAACCAGTGTCCGTTGGGGAAATCGACCACCCTGGGCACAGTTGTGCTGGAGTGAGTAATGAGGCAGGCTTTCCACGATGGCTGATAGAGGCTCCCATTAACAGCCATGCTTCAGGGTATTCTCTGTCTCTGTGTTGTGGAATGGAAATGAGATCTGATAGAGCCATGTATAATTTGTTGTCACATCAAAGTGACACTTATTAGCTTTATTTCCTTATCATTGTTACATCTACAGTACCTCTGGGTAAATATTTCAGTAGATCAGACTGCTGCTAGCATGCTTTTGTTATGTGCCTCTAAGTATAGCAGTAGTCAGAATAAGTTTCATTGATTGTAGTTCTGTAACAACTGGTTATGGAGACGTGTGTCTTCTATTGACGTGCTTTTAAATTGGACACAATGAACGTACTTTACCCCACAAATAGATTTCCTGAAAGCTTATATCCAACGTCTCTGTTGGCTCTAAAGGAATAGTTTGGGCATTTTATTCCTTCTGGGAGGGCAAACATTTGTCATTTTTTCTTATTCCTCTGTGTGTCATCTCTTTTCATCGCCAAGGTTGATAATCTTATTACGAATATCATCCTGTAATATGTAAAAGTTTTGTGGTTTTTGATATATTTTATTCATCAGTCTGCATTCTCACACAGACACAAACACGTTAGCCCGTGCGCGCACACGGACACACAAGCAAACACGCACATTTTTCCATTAATCTCGCAGCTATCCTGAAGTGGATTATTTTGAATTTATCCAACAGCCCTCTTCATATCTTTGCGACTTTGAATTGGGATATTGCGGGATGGACCGCTATCAGAGCAGAATTATTTTCACAACTCCAACAGAGGACTGAGCATTGAAGGGCTATATTTTACCATTGCATCTATAGATGTGCAGCATTATAACTCATGAGTGGCACCTCATTTCACACAGCCTAATGGCTTGACACTGAGAGCACGCTGGGGATCCAGGCAGGGGAGCTTCCCTTCATTTTTTTGGTCTAAGTTTTATGAGATACAAGGATTAGGGTTGATTGAAAGTCACAGTGAGCTGCTGCACAGCACTGCAGTATGTATAAGGGTTTAAACTTTCTTCATTGATGACTTAATTTTATTAATGATACACACACGCAGCCAATGTTACATCACTTTGATTTATGTTTTTTTTTTGTACGAATTCTGCAGGCTCAATTTGCTGTGTCGATAAAAAAAACCTGACAAGTCAAAGATAAGTTCAGATGTGGGTCTTTATACGTCCCCCCAAAAATCACCCTAGACTGCAGCAGCTGTGATATTTAACTGATTTAGATAGAGAGAAGCAGACACTGAGGCACAGTCTACTCTTCAGTGAACTTATCTTACCCGCCTGCATGTGACAGACAGCGTGGCCCTCCAGCTTAGTTGTCATACAACGGCGACCAGTCAGAGCTCGTCAGGTTGCATGATTGTATAATTGTGTTGTGACACCTTGAACCCGCCGGTGGTATATAACCATGCTCATTTTCTGATAGCACACCGTGGGCCGTTAGAATCAGAGTTATGATGGGTGTAATTTGTGCCTCCAACGGCGGAGTGAAAGGAGCAGGTCATCAGCAGGATAAATACAAATTAAAATTGATGCAGGTCTCATTTCTGCTTGACCAGTTTGTGTTGGGAGGCTGCAGAGAGCTAGGAATGGTGCACTTGCCATTTGTGCCATTTGGTCTTCCATTTCAATTCAGGGCCTGGAGGCAAAAACTCCAAATAAAATGTACCTGCCCAAAGATGTTTTCCCGCAGTATCACAGGCTTGATTATGAAGCTCGGCAGGCTGGAAATACGGCTGCTTTTATAGCTCAAGGTACGCCTTCCTGAAGATGTTGCTCATATTAAGTTTTTAAGTTCATGTCAAAGCCCAAAAATTACTAATATTGAAAAACAGAAAATAAAACAACAATAGTGTAGAGGTAGATTTGTGATATTTTCCTACACTTTAAATAAAAAGCGAGTGATTTGTGATTGACAGCTTCTGTCTGACATTAGCTGTTTGCTGCTGTCTCTGGGTTCGTGTGTGCCTGAGTGTGTACCGGTGTGTGTGTGTTGTACGTCCAGCAGAGCCAAAGAGGCATCCTCCTGAACTCCTGTCACAGCTTCTCTGACTGTGAGTTCAAGAGCTCTTCATTACAGTCTCTGCGCATCTGAGGGAAAGAGAAACAATGCTTAGAGCTCAATGCACATAACCTTTCCATTCAATCAGCGGTTCAAACTGTCTCCCACTACTGAAAATCACTCTGTTTCTACCCAGTCAAGTGCACCGCTGAGTCAAAAAGCATCCTATCAAAAATTAATAAAAGTATCTTTCACTGTACTGGCTGCCAGAAACCAAGGAACCTAAATGATAATTTCCAGAATGAGACTGACATTTTTCAGAGATCATAAAGCGATACAGAAGCTCTGATTGAAGACGGTAATCACAACATTTTAACTAGCATGCCTATGCATTACCCATCACTGCCTTTGAAATATGTATATTTATGAAAATAAGCGGTAAAACTAGCCTGACAGTACAACAGCGACGTCAAACAAAGGCTCGTCAGTAATGTTTTATACAAATCCACTGATATAATAATTATACTATCCCCAGTCTTTAGTGGAGGTTGATTGTTCTTGCTGTGAGCTAACACACTTAATTGTAGTATGCAAATGAGAGCAATTACAAAGCTTTTAGGTGAAGAGATGACAGCTGAGGTTGGTTTTATTGGAGGCCTCACCCAAACTGTTGCCATGGAGACCACATAGAATAACGCAACTGTCAAACGGATGTAATCTCATGATATGCCCAGAAATTGCCTGCGCTCTACTTTTTTTGTTCCACGAACTGATCCATATGAAAAAGGAGATGCTTATTACTGATTACTTAACAAATTGACAATTTGTGTTGTGCAAAAAGGGAAAGAGGGGCTCGTTTGAGAGATGGAAATGTTGGAATGGATTCAAATTTTCCAAACCAGAGTCTTCACAAGAATGTAAAATATGCTCGCACACACAGTCCGAAATTCTTTGAGCTTTTTATGGTGTCAGCAATTAGTCAGATGTATAAAAAGGGACAATTATTTAAAGGAAAATAGTTTTATATTATTATTTAGCACATATATCTGACTGTACTGTGAGGTCTGTGGCTTGAACAAACAGGCCTTTGATTTATTGATACATGACAGGATACAGGATATTGATATGTGGCAATTTTAATACTAGTTAGGACTATTAACTGTGAATCAAAGAGACTTACACACTCAAACAGAGCAGGGTTTATTTAGGTGAGTGTTTATTGTCAGTGGAGCCGCCCAGAGTCACCTTTTCACACTGCTGATCACATGACAGTCCTAATAATGCTGCTGATGATTGTCATTGTCTATGACATGACACAGGACGCTACCTTTCCAATTAAAATCATCATTGCCTTTTTTTTCTCTTAAAATATATCATTTTGTCAAAAAAAAAAAAAAAAAAAATACCTGCACCTTACAGTTTGATCAAGTTGCATGATTTTTAAATTACATACTTTTCAGGACAATTTTTTCATCAGTCCAAATTTAAAAACACTCACTGCTCCATCTTTGTTTATCCCAAATTACACCAAATGACACAATCACTGGCGTTGGCGTGCAAAAAAACAAAAAGTTGCGTTCTAAATTTGGTCAAATTTTCAACAACAATCTATATTACAATTACTCCTGTGCAGGCTTTCATGAATTAAATATGAGTTGTGTCTGAGAATGAGATGTTATAGAGGTAAATGACAAGAGGCAGCCTGTAATTGAGGTGGTGGCAACATGGGCCTACTGAACTAATCCCTGACTCGGTCATGTGACGGGCTGCTCACCAATGGCGAGAGTCCTTTTCACCACAAAGCCAGGGCAGCTGGGAAAATTGATTTATCATCTGAGCTGTATTTGATAGCTTTTGAAATCAAAAATTGAAATTAACTAACCTACGCCCCGTCATTACAAAAGAGCAAATTAAACCATGCAGCGGCGGTTCCTCCGAGCTCTGGAAGCCTGTGAGGGAGACAAATGTGAAGATGCGGGCTCTCCTCGGCCCGTGACTCTCACACTCTCTGCCCAGAATAATATTAGAAACAATAAATGAAATGTGTGCTGTTGTATTTCAATAATATGTACTGTAAACCATTGAGCTTTTTAAAATATAATTTACAGCACATAGCAGCACATTTGCCTGGTGTGAGAGAAATAAATTATCTTTTTTATTCAAAAAACAGATTCTATCATGTAGTTTGCTTTTTGCATGTTTTTTTTTAAAATTTATATATGGCAATAATTTGCCAACATTTAGATTTATTGGCAAAAATAACAGAATATATAATCAATATAAATATAACTGAAATAATCAACAGATAGAGTAAATTTTTTTGAGTTCAATAACTAAACTAGGTTCTGCAGATTAGGCAGCTTCTCTAAATGCACAGTCTCAGTCTTCCTAAATTAATAAAAATTAGTAATTAAAAAAAATATATATATATTTTAATCTAAAGTTGTATTTAATTGTACAGGGAAATGAATCTTTATCTTTAAAGATTCATTTCCCTGTACTACACCCACAATTTGCACAAGATGCAATAACTATGAGACTAATTTACAATTCATTATTAGAACAATGCAAAGAGCAGTTTAACAAGCATTTAGGAGTAAATCTTCTTTGTGAGACTGAGTGAAAGTGGACGTGAAGCAAAACAAGGTAGCTGGTTGCGTTGACAAACGACATGCTGAAACAGATGTTCCTGCAGGTGGACATGAAGATCAATAGGCGTTGGAGAGCAGCTAGATAGTTACCTGAGCTGCTGGAACTTGTAGCAGATGTTAAACAGACTGATGCCCTGGAAGGCTGATCAATGGACAGGAGGCAGATGGAGGAGAACATGGAGGAGTGCTGGGAGGCGCTGTGAGCAGAGAGAAACATAAAATAATGGGAGTCACATTTGATATGTAGATGGGTGCCTGTCCACAACAACGTTAACCCATCAACATAAAAAATAATAGGCTTCAACTTTTGGGGGGAAAACTTCCAACTTCAGCCAAAACTAGGCTCCCTTCATCGACTTCTGTTCGGCTAATTACTGGTGAATTTATCTCGTCAAAGTCAGGATCCTGTGAAGCTGATTATTTGCCCCGTATCGTAATTCTAAACAGGTAGGTTGGGGCACTGTGATGACCATTATCAGGGATGAGAAACAAGAGATTCAGCAGTTTTTCAGGGCTAAAAACTTGCCTAATTAGCAGTGGTAAGAGGTAGTGTCAGGCTGTGATCTAACAGACTATCACCTTTACCTCCCATTAGTGAATTAAATACACACTGAAAATCCCTAAGCATCTCTTGGCCCTCACTACCGGGTATAACTAGTGCATTATCAATCTTATTTTAAAAGCACACATGACAGAAAAAAGCCTTATTCGCAGTGTTGTATTAAAATATCTGTCAGGTATTTTACATACATACAATAATCAGGAAATATCATTCAAACAAGTTGACGTCACATAAATTACATTTAGTGTACGACACAATTATTTTCTCTGAACTTTAATCAGGCTAACTAGGTCTGCAGTTAGTAGCAATGTCTCTCAGTTCCTATACACTTGCACGAGCACACACACAGACCCACAGAAAGACAGTGCTTACTGTACACACACATACGCTCGCACACACACACGCACAGATCTTCTGACATCCAGCGTCCCAGTGGCCTTGCTGTCCGAGAAGCAACTTGAACTAGGCGATAACCTGATAGACTTTATCTTGTCTTCCCTGGGTCTCAGTGAAGCCTGAAGAAGACACTTCAACTGCACAGCATCCCCCCAGAGTCCTAACCTTCCCCTCATCTCTCCTCGCCGCCACCGGTGCCTGAGAGCTGTCAGCGGCCTGTTGCTTATTGATGTTTCTGCATGTTTTATGTCTTTCTGAGATATGACGGCCCTGACACAGTGCTGATTTCAATCAGCTTGCCACATACCGCCGAGAATGACAGCTGTGGAAAGTAAGAAGGACAAAAAAAAAAAAAAAAAAGGGGAAAGAATTGGTGGGGATGTCATTGGCTCAGATCAGCTCTGGCCTTGTCTCTGACCGGGGATTCTCCTCCCTTCTAATGAAAATGTTTCATTCACATCTCGCATCTCATGCCTCCCTCGCTGATGAATTCAATAGAAGAAAAAAGAGAAACGAATAGTGAGGGGAAAGAAATTCAGCTTTTGTCAGATTGTGGAGGCAAGAAGAGAGGATGACCCCGGAGCCAAAGGTTTTGACACTGCATCAATCCCTTTAGGGGTGAGGCCTGCTGGACCAGCTCTGGCTGAAGATTACTTCAGCACATCTGAGGGATGGCTGCTCTATCTATTTCACACATTCTATGCAGAGGAGAGCCTTGTATGCTTTGGATCCTGAGCTGCCCAGTAAATTAGGTCTGAGATCATTCCATGGAATGAGGGGAGCTATCCAGGGCAATTCAACTCCAAACCATTGACAGAGAGCTTACCGAATCCCTGTAAAAGGGAGACACATCTAGTCCCCTCTTTCTCTTTATGATACCAACTAGAATGTACCGTGGGTAATCCCAATAAGGCTCTTTACTTGCAAATTCAAGTATATGCACACATGTACCGATAAGACGCTCCCACGCAGCTTTCTCACATACGTGTTATTGACAAGCATATCACATCTATTCAGTTGTCTGCGCTTTTGTCCCTATCTGAAGTAATATCTTTGACTTATTAGGTGGCGCGATGCTAAATATGATGTGGTGATAATTGCAAATTCCCATCAGTGTTGAATCTGTGTTTGGGTCACACAGATTGTGCTGCTGGTTTATTTTGCTATGTTTCCCAGAACATGTGTATTTTAAAATGATAATAAAACTTTTTTTTCCCTAGATTTTTAATTATTCTATATGTTCACTTTAACACCTCTTAGTGTTTTAATATTGAGGCTGTGTTTTTTATTTTTAATTCTTTTTTTTTTTCAATTTTTCTTTTTACAGTTTAGATTTTAACTCAATCTAAACTGCACTTTAAAGTAAAAAAAAAAAAAAAATCTCCAAGATCTCAGTCTTTTCAAACTTGTGTTTGTCTGAATCTGATAAAGAGAAATTTATTCGCTTCTGTTTTCACTGAGAGATATCAAATTAATAGCTCTAGTCGGGGTACTTTACTTTGAGTGCGCAGTCATATTTCACTTTCAGTTTTTTTATAGAACACAATTACTGCGGCCATAATGAGATTCAAAACAAAGACTAAATTAGCTGTCATTAAATTATTTCAATTTCCTTACCCTAATAGAAGATTGTGACAGGTGTCATAGTTGCCGTTATGTTTGGCTTCGCAACATGTTATAATGGATAATTGATCCATCAAAAAACATCAAGCCAAGGCAATAACTGGCTTGAGACTGGCGCATTGAACATGCAGAAAATCGAATTTAACCCCATGTTGACTGAGACACTCCCTTGCTCTGTCGATCAAGCATGTCTCTCCTTGACAGCTCTGTTCGCATGTTGTTAAATAATCTAAAGGGAAAAAAGAAACATGAAAGAAAAAGCAGTCTCAGAGGAACTGTCACAGAGAAAGGAGAATGCCATGGGGGGCGAGGAATGCCTTCAGTCGCACAGCTTTTCACATTTTAATTTCAGTCTGCGGGACTGACTCATGGTAGCGCCTGAGTGAGTGGGTCCTGGGAGTCAGGGCTTGCGCTGACCCCTGAGCATAGACAAGCCCAGAGAGATGTCAGCTGAGAGCTCCTGAGGATCACCAGGCTGCCAAGCGCTTTGAAAGCTGCTGCCAATTCAGCCTAAGTTTCAGCTGAATGGTCGCCACAGAGAAGGGGAGCGACAGCAATAAAAACAGGTTGCAAAAGGAAGAGAATTTGCTTTCAAAATGTATTTGGCCTTTGACCTTGCATCCAACCCCGTGGCCTCTGTCTTTGAAGCTGAGCATATTTTTTGAGAGACACTGAAAGAGGGGAGGGTTTCAGGGGTGGACTTGGGGCCTGTCAGTATAAATATATTAATAATCTGACAGCTTCATCTGCTTTTGAGGGCTAGACTTGACAGCTTCACAATGGCCTGCGCTGTAGTCCTTCTCGTACATGTCTAGCTTTCCTGTCTGAACAACACAGAGAGTTTATTAAGACATCACACTCCTGTGAAGTATTGATTTTACACCAGTCTCTGTCACTTACTGTATTAGCCCAAGCAGGAGCTCCAAAATAAACTATGACAGCTGCATGTAACCTGCTGAATATGTTTGAGAGAACTGCTCGGTTCAGGTAAATGTGCTTTTTATTTTGTTGTACATCTTTAATCTAATATCGCCTGACCAAGTTCCGAGATCAAACGTAAACACACAACAGGAAAAATGCTTTGATTTTTTTTTTTTTTTTTTTTTTGTTTTAAACAGAAAATTCAAATTTTTTGACAGTGACAAATAAAGGAGAAACGCATTAGAGAGGAGATTGTTGCAATTAAGTTTCTGCAGCTCAGGAAAAGGAGCGAATGCTATCTTGAACAAAGGAAGGGGATGTGCATCTGCCTGTGGAAACGCGCCCCGCCTCTCAGACAGTGCGTCTCTCCGTGGAGAGACAGAGGGAGAGAGGGGTCAGAGGGAGCACAGGTAATTGAGGTGTCCCCTCCCCTCCTTTTTTTTCCAGGGCTTCTCACCCCATCCTTTCACCCCCCACCCTATCCACACAGCGGGCACAATTACGCTCCCCATCACCCCACCAGCTGGCCCCCGTGATCCCACACTTCTTACTAAACGCGACTCCATCGGCCCTTTCCCTCTTAACCTCTCAGCACCCGCTCCGGGGGAATGGTAAGGCTGCACATAAAACTGGGGAAAAAGAACTCTGACAGTTCTACTACTTTTAACACTTTGCAAAAAAGGGAAAAAAATGGAGAAGTTGAGTTAAATGCAGGCTGTGCATTGAGAATGAAACTGTCTTTATGGCAGGTGTACTGTACAGAAACCTACAGCAGCTCTAAAACTGCATGATTCCATTGAATGTAAATGGCAATAGGAGGCTGTGGATTAGTTTAAGAGTAAAATATTGTCATACTGGGTAACAAGACACTGCTAACGTTGTGATAATTAATTTTACACTTTAAATTAGAGGAAATCTGACACATTAAGGAAGATTTGAAGAATAAATTCTTCAATATGGAGTAGCCTGTCCACCGCGCAGCATGCTAACAATTCAAATCAAACTGTAATAGCTATCAACATGTATGTTAATTGAGTGGCTTGAAATAGATTTCAACACCCGGGTGTCAGTCTGATCATACTTCTCAAACACGCTCCGAGTGTCTCTTGATAGACAGTGTTTTCACTCCATCCCTTCACATTAATGAGTGGGAAGGCTCTCCTGTGCTTTATTACCTGAAATAATACCATATGGTAAAATGTAAACAACATCTGCATATTCATGTCATAACTTCATCTGTTTAATTAGTTCCAGCAAAGCAGTTTACCCTCTGAGGCCCTCCCTGTCAGAGCAGTGATGGTAGAGCCGTGCCCTGCTGTCGGTCCTGACAGTCCTCCATTGTTCAGTTGACGCTCCTGCCCTGTCTGTTTAATGCCAGGTGCATCTTTACAGGCCACGGATCAGGTGAAGTGAGTTAGGGAGCTTCTTTCACACTGATGCCAAACCTGACATATTCCTCTTTAGCAAGGAGACCCAGCAATTATTTGAGGATATTCTATTATATGTAAACACAGCTTGGTTAAAAGCCAAACTTTCACCAAATGACACCATCTCTGACATGCATCGGCCACTGCAGGCATCAATATGTGTGGTGAAATGCATCTGTTTTCACTCCGCACAGCCACACTGTCGGACAGAATGTGATACTCACAGTTCAGGTCAATCACGTGTGTAAAATAATAACCAGATATATATTT